ATTGAAACAGTATTTGTGTGCAAGAATTCCAGTGCGCTATTTGGGTACCGTTAATCCGAGTAACGGGGCTTAAGTTTTATAAGACTGAGCATGTTTTGCTTTCTTCGATTTTTATAGCAATTGGTTTTGTAAAACTTTTTTTTCCTCTTTTTTTTTTTTTTTGGTTTCTCTCCTTTATCTCTTTATTTTATTTATCTATTTATTCTCGTTTTTTTCTTATTGATGTATTTCTTTCTTTTTATCTATTTATATACACATTTATATATATATTTATTTTTTTACTTATATTTTCGTTTTTTTTTTTATTATTATTATTGTTGCGTTTATTTTTTGTTGTATTTTTTTCTTATTTCATTATTTTCTTTTTTAATTTTATTTTCTACCCTTATTTTTTTTTTTAATGCTCTTTTTTTTAACATAGCCTATATTCTTATTTATTCTTCGGGGTGGTTCGGTGCGTCACTGCACTCCCGGTGCTTAGACTATTTGGTGGCTTCCCGTTTTTGGTACTATCCAGTCGTACCACTGCTCGATGCTCGATGTAGAAGCGGTTTAATGGGCTTTTCCGATTGGTTGTTTCGCTGCTTCCTTACAAGATGTAGTTTTTTGGCGAGTTAATTTCTTTTTGTACCGTTTGCTGATGAGCCAAGAATTGTTATCATGCCTAGTCCAATGTTTTTCCATGTAAACTCTTTTACTGAAGTGCCCCTATACATGCGAATGATAGGTCGATGCGGGAAATTTGAAATAGACTGCCATGATTTTCATTTCATGGCCGCAACCTTAGAAAAATATATCTATATATTTGTATAAACACAAAAACATTTCGATTGCTTACTGCGATTTCGTTTAGAATGCGTTTTCCTTTCAGATTTATAAAAATAGTTTCATTTTTCACTAGATGTGAAAAATACGCGTTGCGTCACCTTCTTTCTCTTCAACAACTTAGTTTATTAAACATCACACTAATTTTTAATTTAATTTTCGTAAAACTACTTCTTTCTTTTATATTTTATTTCGATATTTTTATATGTTTAAAATTTTTTTTGCATACTTCGTACAACTTCTTTTCGCACCTGGCTTTAAATTCATAAGCATAGTTTTGATGAACGCAACTGTAACGTTTTAACATGTGAGAATAAGCGTCCACATTTGTTTACAATTTTTAATAATTGTTGAAGTATTTGTATAAAAATTGCAAGCAACTGAGAATGAGCGTATAAAAATTTGCCGCCAACTGAAAATGATTCTCAATAATTCCAAACATGTGAGAATAAGCGTCCAATTTGTTTACAATTTTTAATAATTGTTCAAGTATTTGTATAAAAATTGAGAGCATCTGAGAACAAGCGTATAAAAATTTGCCGCCAACTGAAAATGATTCTCAATAATTCCAAACATGTGAGAATAATCATCCAATTTGTTTACAATCTTTAATAATTGTTCAAGTATTTGTATATATATTTTTGTGAGCGCGATGCTCGTCTATAGCGGTTTTCTCAAGAACTCGCCACCATAATGACAGTTTAATAGATTTATTATCTAGTTTGTCATTACGAAACTATGAGTGGAGAAATTTGGAGTCTTTGCACTTTTCTATATTTTCTTGGGTTGTAATTTCGACAAAAAATTATTGAGAAGACAAATCTCAAGTTCAAGTCTCTCTGAGTTAACATATAGGTTAGTGAAAGGTTAATTTTCCTGTTAATAATTAAAATATAAGATAGTAAGAAGTTAATAAGAAGATGTTAATAAAATAATTAAGTTAATAATGATTTACTAGCAATTATATTAAAATTCATTGTATAAAAATTTTAAATTAGGTTCAGTTTTGTCTTGCATTTAAAAGAGAGAACGCTTTAATTATAGTTAGCTTATTCTCTTACTAGGTAAGCGTATTGAAACTATCAGTTGCACTCCCAACAAGAAAACTTAGTTCCAATAATATTTCAATGTGCGCTAGTGATTTTAGTACAGGAAATGTACTCATGTTTTTGTAATAATTGCCTAAAAACTTCTGCTTGTTTTCAATAAATTTGCACCGTTTTTTTCATTTGGATGGATTAACCATATAAGGGTTCTTATAATAAGTGAGTCTTTATACGGCGAAAAAGCTATCTTTCTATATTCCTACGTAACAGTACTTTGTCATGCCAATGAGTTGCGCAAAAATTAAGCTACGTAGGTCGATTTTTTTGGACTTAATCCCTATAAGGCTTTTTTTTTCCTTGCTGGAAACTATGTATAATTTGCGGTATTTTATCACGGTTTAGGGTATTTATACTAGAAATCTTCAATCTATATTTTTTAATTTTTTCCACAATTGTTTTTTTTGGAATTTTTTTATTTTTGCCTCTTTTTTAAATTTTTTTTAGGTTTTTTTTTATATTTTTCAGTTTATCATCGTATTTGAATTTTTTTGCAACTCACTAAAAAAAATTTCTTTGTTTGCAGAAAACACCACCGTTAGCCGGTTTCTTTTCTTTACAAGTTTTAAATAAAAAAAACCATTTGTTGAGAATAGAGGGAGAATAGAATTGCCTTCAATAAATAACAACACTTCTATTCTCTTAAAGTGTGTGAGAATTTGGAGTGAATATTCTGTTAAAAAGTCAAAGTTCTGTTAAAAAACTTTGGTCATGACGAAGAGGAAGGAATAACCAGGTCCTCTGTTAAAACTCATTTACATCTAATGAAGTCAAAAAACGATTTGCACTAAAGACTAATTTAGATGAACATGGGTAAGGCATGGTCGCATTTATCGTATGTCAAACATATTTTTAGAAAAATTGGATTTCTAGTAGAATTACTTTGAAACACAAAGCAAATAATTTGACAATAAATGACAGTATAAAGTAGTTGACTCAATTAACTTTAAATATTAAGAATATCATTTCTTTATATAAACAAATAAATATAACACCTTTGAAATCGACGTTAACCCTGGACAAATTCGCCTACAGCTACGTAACTGCTTTATATTGGATCGTGACGGTGGCGTAGAGTTTTATCATGTGTCCAGAGACATATGAGATGACAGTTTGCATCCGAATTTTGTTTAAGAAGCTAAACAAGATTTACAAATATTCTAATCATAATTACCATCCTCACTCAACAAACCAAAAGCAAAAAAAAAAATCACATTGAATGCTTCTTTTATGTGGTTAATCATGTAACAACTTTTTTGAACGTGACTTTACTCGATGTTAACGATCATGAACAGCAAATGCCGGATAATCTATAATTCCCGTGCAGAAATATTTAGAGAAAGCAAATATTGCTTTGAGATGATCGAGCCAATAAGAATCTTTTGCCAACTGTTATGGGCCAGACAACACAGTTATTAAACTAAAGGCTTACAAGACGTGGAACGATGAGACCGTTTTTCAAGAAAGTCGTAGAATACTTGGAACTCAAATAGGTCATATATCTTATAATGAATTTTTACCTGCGCTGCTGGGGCGAGAACTGAGTGCTAAGAAAGGATTGCTTCCGCAAAATGACAATTTAGATGCATCTGGTGCCTGCCGTAAGCGATAACTACAGACAGATTACGACTACGATCGTATTTACTTGATATTGAGAACCATAGAGTTGCCACGGTTTATTCAAAGGTGGCTGTGAATATTTCGTAATACGCTGTTAGGAAGGGTCGATACTCATTTTTGAGAAGTTTTCTTGATGCAGCTTAAGGCAAGATTTACGGACATTTTGTACATAACTATTTTTACTGAAACCCGTCAATTTGCCGAGTAAATTCTGTGAGGCGTCACAGTTTCAAATATAAAGACAGGAAGCTAAAGTTTCTTGGTCGACTAAGGATGTGTGGTTAAAAAATGGGCGTAAGCTGCTCACATACTGGCCTTTAGTATAGAAAGAACTAAAACGATCTTCAAAAACCAATTTTTTGAAATTTTTGCCTATAACTTCTGATCCCGTAAAAATACTTTGTTTGTAGTATATCCGTCTAAAAGACGAATCTCGGAACAACATGACCGTAAATCTGGTAATATCACATAGTACCGATATTATCAAAAAGAACTCAATGAGCGCAAAATGGTATATAAATGCTAACTCACCCATTTAATCGTTAATTGTGAACATATCACTGAATCGATTGAGACAATTTTTGTAGCCAGTTGTTTTTAGAGGTCGTTTAGGCGTAGGTATGCCAAATTTCATCTTTATATTTGCGGCTTGTGACGATTCACAAAACTTACCCGTCAAATTGATGGGTTTCAGTAAAAATATGTATACCACACATAGAAATAGAAAAGTGGGCGCGTTCCCCAAAAACAGTTGACATATACATTTGCTGCATTAAATAATTAAAAACCAGCGTAGAAAATCGGAAGATATCTACCCGTTTGTGCGGAATTCTTGAGCTTGAAATCACAAGCCCGTCAAACAAGTGGCGTAAATCTAGTGTTAAAGAAAGTATAATAGTAATGTTAACTGTGAGGAAATTCAGGTAGTAATAAGGTGAGTATTTATTACTTTCGGAATGTTTTTCTGCTTAGTTAAAGGCCGACAGGCTCTAGGGAACTACAACATTTACTGTTAATACTAAAATAAAGAATTAGGAAGAAACGAGTTTCTCTGATGTATGAGAGCTAAAGTCTGTTGTCGTTATTCTAAAGAGTCATTATAAAATTAAAAAAGGATGCAGTAACACTACATTATCGGATATTTAAAAATCCGGTATATGCTAGTGCATAGGCTCAGCATAATTTGAGGGATGAATGAATGAATGATGAACGTTTGGTTGCTGATTTGATTTGTTCTTGGCATTTCCTTTGTAAAATTATGTTGATCAACTACTTTTTGAATTAGAAGTTAATTACGTTACTTATAAGTGTCACACTACAAAGTGCAAGAGCATTCACCATAAGTATAACATGATAAACTTCAAAAATTCATTTGACCTATGTTCATAAGAAACTACTTTTCTCCATTTGCAATTAGAAATTCTCTTTTGTCGTTAGGTATTCGTTTTCTAATTTTGCAACTTTATGTAATCAATAGGTATTTCTATATATATATATATATCAGATTGTATACATTCTTAATAGCGAAATTTTTACAATGTACCCATATCGCTAAACCTTTTTAATTTTTCGGGGAAATTGTCTTTAAACAGTACGGGATCTGCCCGAAATTCGACGGCACGAAGAGGCATACGACCATAAATTTGCGTGAATTCGTTAATGCAATACGATCGCTCACGCATATGATTCAGGTCAGCCGAGAGCATCTCGTTGTTCGTACATTCGGGGCATTTGAACTTTTTCCGTGGCGTTACTTTTATGGGTGGTTTGTTAGTGACGTTAGCAATCAGGAAATTCATGGCTATATCTTCACAATTCATACGAGAGTCTACGATTTGCTTTATAATAGGTGGCATCCGATATGTGTACATGTAACTCCAATATTTATGAAGGAAAGCAGCGCCCGTCAAAACCATAGATATTTGATTAGTCCATTCAGACTCATATCGCCAGTGAGAGGAGAAGTTGTTCCAAACATGTAAGCGGCTCGGAAAGCCAACTATACGGTCAGGAAATTCACGCCACACTTCATATCTGTAATGCAAAAGCAAGAAATGACAATACGCTCTCTTCCGTTTAATTTTTTAAGTAACCAGAAAGACTGTTACCGATTTTTATTATGTTTTTGCAAGCGTAAAAATATTAAAAAAATTCTCACATCCATTTTGACAAAATCTTTTTTAAGAACAAGTAAAAAGATTATATTCGCACAACACGGCCATTAAATTCCCTAGACTACGCATATACCCAAATATATGTCCAAGCGAAAAAATACCTTTTGTGGAAGCTCCTATATAGCGCCAAGCTCAAAAAATACCCACACGTAGTGTAAATTTATCACGGTTTATTTCTCTTTCAAAGTATTATTATGGGACTACTTTATATCATTTGAGTAACAATATATAAGGCTGCGTAGCTATAATTTGGTAAAGCTAATGTTGTAAGCTGTTTCGCACCAATTTAGAATCGCAAAATGCTGTTATTAAAAGATTTTTGTTGTGGAACATTGAAAACTAACATTTTTTCCATATAATTTCTTCTTCAAAATAAAACGCTATATGAGGTGTGGTCTCAAATATACAATTCATTTTCAATAGGATGCGACTTTGGGCAGTCGCAAATTTTTTTAATATGTCCTTAAAACGGCGACCTACGGGGTAAACATAACAATTCATGGACAGATATCAGACAGGAAGACAAGATTAAATTGATTTAGGAAATGATTCTGAATCGATCAGCGTAACTAAATTGGGTCGTTTTCAATTCTCCTGGGTGTTGCATATAACTGCGTAATGTTAGCGTACTTCTTACAATAAGTGGTATGTGGTATATAAGGGACGACTATTGACGAATCCATATGGTTTTAGGATGTACCAATCTTCAAGCGACATGTGTCAAAATTTCGTGACGTCCCGATCATGAGCTTAGAAGTTGAAGTTTTTTTAGTGACACCACACAAAAATTTATATTTTCCAACAAGAGTGGCGTCATTAAAACAATTGAACTCGTAAAATAGTGTTCGCAATATCAAAAAATTTTCATACGGGCCATTTGAAGACTGGTACTAATTGAATATCATATGGATCCGTCAATAGTGGCGATACCATCTCTGCTCTCTCCTTTTAAAACAAAACATATTCCAAAGCACTCACAATCTCAAAACCGTGCGAGCACTACATTTTTTAAGAGCTATTATAAGAAACACGGTATGAACGGAATAACTTTTACATAGCTTTCAGAAAATGTCAATTACTATAATAGTTAGCTAAAACAATAATAGTAAATAATTAACTTCGACAGTTGCTTTCTTGGTTACCTGATGAATTAAATACCCAAAATCGACTTCATCGGCGGTTAACATATTAATGTCGTCATCAATCGTTAGTATGGACTCTGTTTGAATTTCCTTGTAGGGAAAAAAGCGGTTTGAGAGGCGATTATCACGGGTATGTACAATTTTGATAGACCGCGAGATAACTGGAAGAGCTGAAACTTCGAACAAAAATCTTATATAAAGTTAACATTAAGAGTTAAGGGTAATGGCTTTCATCACACTTACGTAATGGTGGAGCCTTTTGTTGATTATTCCACACTATAAGAATGCTATGCAGAGATGAAACTAGGGACAACTTCTCTATTAACAAAAACAAACTGTCAACTCGATCATAGGTTAATATGACGGCAGTGAAACCTTCAGCACGATTGACAACTCTCGACAAGAACAAAGGGTTCATGCCTCTACCACTTGAGCTGTCCAGAAAATTCCAGTTTCTTCTGTCACGGTTGTTATGGGGAAATATGCGACACTGCAAATATTCCAGAATGGTCAACGTAAGGGCCTCCAAGCTTCGAAAATATTTGTTGTAGAGCAAACGCCCTTGATTTTTCAATTCTTCCTTTCGGTTTGTAGATACGACTTTTAATTTGTCAACTACACTGGCCAACTCAGATTCTCGTATTCTTATTGACGCTAAGCGCCAATCAATGACGTCTTCGAAAGGCAAGACATAGTTATCTACCGCAACCACGGGTATGCAGTTATAAGCTAGCATTTCCAATAGATCTGGTTGTCCTAAGCGCAGGCTACGGCCTAGAAGGCAGAATGTGCCTTTCCCTAAAACTTTTGGGTACTGGAAAGCACTTCTTTTAAAATGCACAGAGCAGCGGGTCAAACTTGAATTTTCGCATTGTTTCAGAAACAACATTTCATTGGGGTGCTCCTCTGATATGTTCTGTAGAATCCACAAGTGCTTTGGAAAGATGTTCAGTTGCGCCGCGATAAGAAGATATTCCTCGTTATAGCTTTTTACCGTAACATCTTTTCTTAGTAAGGAACTCCAAACCGGAATGGAAACATCGAAACCCACCCTATATGCCCAAGAATCAAAGCCTCCTCCTAAAATTATTGCTTGATCCGTGTTTACATCAATCACACGGTTATAAGATGGGTGCGTCCCGGGGAGCATGTTGAACAGTAAATGGTTTTGCCCATCGCTCCAATATTCTAAACTGCCCAAAGCTTTATTTACTAAAGCTGCCCGAATATTGTTTTGATTTAACAAATCAATGCTTGGCACAAATAAACACGCTTTATTGGGATTCGGAGTGTAATAAGGACTTTTGACTATTGCATTTAGTATTTGATAAAATTCGTTAGTCAAATGCGCTGCCCTTTCTCCTGAATTTGCATCTACGTATTCTTGCAACGGATACACAAAAACTTTGATACGGTCTTGGCCACACCGATAAATATTGACACAGGTCCATATAGTGCAATTTGCATTGCGACCACGTGCGGTATCCGCGCTATCATGCAAAAGTAACTCATCGATATTGTTTAAATTTAAGGATATCATATTAAAATTTCTTTTGTAGTGTTTTACGTCGTCGGATTGATTAAAAAAATTATACAAATACACAACACTTAATACAAGTGCCAGCGACAATATTGCATTACAGACATTATGCTGGGCTTCGAATCGTATTAATGACAATTTGTTTAACATTGTTGTAGTTAGGCCAATATGTCCTAGATTGTAATCCTTCTTATGGCAATATTTCAATTTCTGCGCGTTTCCACTTTGTTTTACCGCAAGGGAGCTCCTTTTCAACTAACAATTATGCAGAGCAAAAAATTTTTATTTTTTCAATTGGTTCCTTTCTTCTGTTATATACAAATTTCATGCATGTGAAGATAATAATAATAATAATAATAATACCACATAACGAGGAAATACTTGATAAAACTCCCTACCCCGCTTAAAGACGCCGGATAGAAAAAGATAATCAATAACTTTTCCTCTTTTTCTTCTAAATTTCAGTGAATCAACGGCAGGTGATTGTCTTGAGACGGTTCAACGCGAAGATGAAATTCTTTGCCAGATCCTTAACCAAGTTAGCAATTAGTTCTGGTCGTTGAAGTATTTTTATTATTGTTATTTTCTGCACATTTGTGCCAAGAAGTATACGTTACTGAACCAAAACAAATTAGATACATGGTACGACTTAACATTTCATTTCGTTTCAACTCTCACTAAAAAAAAAGGAAAAAGATTTAAAAATAAAAAGAAAATTTAGAAACAGCGGAACGGGTGGTTTTTCTTTTTTGAAAGAGAAGCTTTTACTATATCAAGTACGTTTTTATTATGAGTAAACACATCACGTTTGATATTTTTTCCTGGTCTGCGACTTTGGCTGAAACAACAACAAAAGGTTGCGTGCATATCAAGTTGTAAAATTTTAGTTGAATGTAAAGACAGCATTCAATATGCACCCATAATAAAAATTTCTTTTTTAGAATGCAGACGATTGTCACGAAGATGTTAATCATATATCATTATTGCCAACTTTCCAATACTTCCCGTCAAAGTTTTAGTTACAATGCATTAATAACTGAAAGAAAAAATTATAGCCAAATTGCAGAACAAGTATAGAGAATTCGAAAATAGAATTTTGTTGGGATACGTCGGATTGATTTATGTTGTGACAAATTTCAATGTCAGTTCCTTGAGCAAGAAAAAGAAAATTAAAAAAAAAGAAATTATTGAATCTATCGACGAATTTGCTCGACAAAAAAAGCTGAAGAAGACCTAGCGGTCCTTCAGAATTATGCTTTGAAAACAAAATTTTTTTTCGGACCAGAAGAAAGTATCCTCATTTGCTGATTGACGATTATATGAAATTTTAACCTGACCTGATAAAAAACCGTCTAAAAGTATGTAAAAGTTACACCTTTATAATATGTCGATAATTGAAATTAAAAATTCAATACGAAATCATTTCAAAAGGGAAAACAAAAACAATGCAAGTAACTATCTGTACAACGTAGGTGTTGGAAGGTGTATTATAAAAAAAAAGACAACAACTAAAATATCTGAAAAAGTAAATCATCGCAATTTGGGGAAAGTTGTAACGTCGCATCCTACTGCGGAGCTCTTCCTACTCAAAGAGCATCATTACTCACTCCCACTCCATTCCATTTCATAATTTGAATGTTTATCATCTCTAAATCTACAAAATTCACTCTGCGAAATATTATTCGCCCACAAGGCCGCATCATCTCCAGGCCAGAGCTTATGTCGACACCAGAAGTGCCAGTCCAGAAAAAATGCTTTGCCAATTATCGAAGTTGGCCGACATTTATAACGCGTTTTTACAAATTCGACCAAATCTCTCACTCTCGTGTGCCTTTGGACACAGTACGTATAAGTTTTTTCGGGAATGTTTTATCTTCCCACATATGTTTGAAAGGCATTAACTTCCCGGTAAAACCATATGTTACGAGCTGATGTTACAATGCCGCAAATGTTGGAGTTTCGGCCACACTAATAAGGTGTGCTCGCGCCAAAAGTCTCTCTGCCTTTCTTGTGGCGCAACCCACGATTGCTCCATAAATTGTACTCAATATACTAAAAAACGCATTAATTGCAAGGGTGAGAAACTTTCTAATTCCAAAACTTGTCCAACATACAAGAAAATTGGTAAGTCAAAAAGGACACAGCAGAACGTCTCAAACCACAAGTTTACTCTTTTTGTCAGAGAACTTACGCACTCCCAAATAATCCAAATTTTTCAATTTCTCTGAGGAGCTTCTTTAAGCCACTTTCACTGGCTTCTCAACAAAGAATCAAACGACCAAACACTGAATCTACTGTCTCAGTTCCAACCAAGAAGGCGATAACTCCTGAAATCACCATCTCCCTTTCCAACATAAAATCTTCAAATCCCGGGACTGTGACACACAGCACAGACAACATTCCTTCCGATCAAGAAATGATCACTGATTCTACCACTTTCTCTAATTTATCTCAAATCTCTGATCGTATTCAAAAACTACGTAATATCAAGCCGTCTTCTGAATCAAATTTTATTATTAACTCCCCTACACTTATCTCACGCCCTTCACAAGAGTATTCTTGACCAGCGACTCCCTTCGGATTCTCTCTCATTCAATAATGAAAATAGCTCAACTTAATTGCAGAATATTTAAGAGAAGTATATTTAAAAGGAGTATACTTACAATCTCAGCCTGGAGAGAGGTAAAGGTTGGAAAAAATTTTGTGAAAATGTCAATAGTGACATGTCAATCTCAGATGTTTGGCGCGCTGCCAGAATTTTCAGAGGTATCACTTGCTCTCTGATACAAGCTTGGGGGGCCTTCTGGTCTTATAATACCCCCTGCTTCACTCATTGGGGAACGAGATCATTTTTTCTTAAGCGCCATATCTCCCTTTGAGGTCGATAAAACCCTTCATTTCTCAAAAGACTTAGCTTCGGGCCTAGATGGTATTCGTAACAATCGCCTCAAAATCTTGAATATTAAAATCAGACTAATCTTACTAAAAGAATTTAACAATATTCTAATTAACGGCTATATATCCTCTTCCTGGTACTACTTCAAATCTTCACTTTAAGAAAGAAGAACAAATCGCCAATCAATGTTAATTCTTACACATGTATTGCATTAGTTTCTATCCTTACAAAAATTTTTCGGGAAAGTGTTATACTCACGTCTAAAATCCGCACATATCCTCTGCAATCTTCAATTTGGTTTTAGATGTTGCAGATCTGCCCAAGACAACATTGTTACTTTGTGGCCAGCAATAAATTCAGCGTTTGCTACGAACCACATTCTCATTGCCCTTTTTCTAGACATAACCTCAGTATTTGATTCTGTCAATATCAATATCTTAAAACCTATCCTTTGAATCTCCCTACGAAATTCTACAATTTCTTATATAACCTTTCCTCTATAAGAGCAAGCTAATTAGCAATGATGATACTGTTGTACAAAGGAGATCTTTTACAGGTGTTTTTCAGGAATCTATCTTGAGTCCTCTTTGCTTTAATTTATATATTAACCAAATTTTCAGTTTCCTTCCTGAAGAATCTCAATTCTGGGCTATGCTGACGATATTGTCAGGTTTAGTTCCAACGCTTCTCGTCTTGAATCACTTTCAGTCAATAAGACCAAATAATTGGTCTTTTCAAAAAAAAGGAAAAATCCCCCGATTACTTCCCTGCTCGTCTATGGTTCTTCTATCCCGTTTGTTAAAACTTTCGACTTTTTAGGCTTTGCCCTACGCTCGCAACGTTCCCGCGCAGCTCACATTGACAAAACTGCCAAACAATGTTTTCAACTCATTAATGAATTGAAATCCATTTGTGGTATTTCTTGGGGCTCTGAGTCTTCTTGCACTGTATGTTGGCTTAATCAGACCAAAATTAGAATAAGCCTGTTCACTCCTATTGGACACCCTAAAAAAAGACCTTATGTATTTATGCAGAATCCAATGTAAATGCATCTGAGTGGCTCCTGGTGGCAAGAATTCTACATACACACTAAACTTGAAACAGATGGCAAATGATATGCCTCTACAAGATTTCATTTACTCAGCATTTTTCGTTTAAGAGAATTTCCAGATAGAGAATATCTTTTCAGAACCATCCGGCCTTATCTTTCATTTAGAACTTTATATCTCTTAATTCCCCTCTCTCCATCTTTAAAGTCTTTGCTGACAAATCTAGTAACTTCGAAATTCTAGGAACTGCTGTACATAGCTTATTCAAAATTCCTCTTGCTTCTCAATATTCTCGACCAGAAACTACATTCTTACCAGTGAGAAAATCCACAGTTACTCCGGTTACAACGTTACTCGAACTTGGTCACTCATCGTTGGTGTTGGATCTAAGACCGAGGTTGTAGGCAGCGGTGTTTGGTTGCCAGAAATTAATATAGAAGCCTACATCTCATATAGTACTACGTTTTCAGCTGAATGTGTAGCGTTCCTGACAATATCTGTTTAACGAGTACTCAACCTCAAAAGAAATTCCTTATAGTATCAGACAGTAAACTTGTCTTATCCGCTTTACAATCACTTCCGTCAGGTAAAACTCACCCCTAAATATTAGAAATTAGATCTTTACTCCTAGCCTCAAATCTGATACGTTTTGTTTTCACTTTCTCTGGGATGCTAGTCAGATGGGCGTTCTTCTAAACAACACTGCAGATAAAATTGCATTTTCAAGACCATCCCATTTTACTGATCGTGGTATGATTCCTGCAGATCTGAGGACTATCAACAAAAGGCATTCAGTTTTTTCTTGACAACAGCGGTGGGATAATTCACCTTATGGTCGTCATTTATACTCTTTAATTCCACAGGTGAGTGCCGTTTTACTGAGTACTCATCTTCTACCTAAGCCAGAAAAGTAACGACTCGTAGCGTAGCGTGTGGGACGTCACCTCTGAGTTTCTCTAAATCTGATTCGATGGTACAAGTTACCACTCCCTCTAACTCTAAAATGAACGCTAATGTTTCCGATATTGTTGAGTCGGTTGGCAATAAAATAGTTACAAACAAGCCGGCAAGTCTTTCCGCTTTAAGCTACGCTGAAGTGGCAAGGGTATCTCCGCCATGGGCCGCCACTCACTCTAATCAAGCGCCATCGCCTAAAAATAATAAAGAGAAAAATAAATCATCCTCTCCCCCTGGCTGTTCGAATGTGACGCTGGTGGCATGACTGGCCAAGTAGCACAAGCTGCTGCTGCAAGGGCGATAACGCCATCTATATTCTCCCTAACTTTAAACTTTCCAAGCGTGAGCTCTCCTGTTCCAACTAATGATATATGCTTGACGGCAGTCCCTCCCAGAAAAGCAATATTTGTGTCAACACTGGCACAAATATTGGATAACATAAAAAGTTATCTGGCGGCGAAAGTCCAAACAGTCAACTTAAAGCGCGTTAGCATTTTCAAAATGGCTCATTCTCAATCCAGGGCAATCTCCTCTCTTAAAATACTAGTTCCGACTGAAAACAGTGATATGTTCTTAAACAAACTACTGTGGCCAGTAGGATCTTTGATTAAGGAATTTATCCCTCGAGATCGTACCCGTAATACCAAAGCAATAACCTTATCGCCTAAATGTTTCTTCAGGCCCACTATCTCTCATTTAT